CAGGGAGGCCCCCAATGAGATAGTTCCCTATTTACAGGGAAGCTAAGCCCATTTACTACAGGTGAAAATGCCCAGGCTAGCCCGATCTTATCAGGTCTTGGAAGCTAAGCATGGTTGGCCCTGGTTAGTATTTGGATGGAAGACCACCAAGGAATATCAGGGTCGCTATGCAGAGGCAGACAATGGCAAACCGCCTCTGAATGCCTCTTGACTTGAAAACCCTACAGGGTCTCCTTAAGTCAGCTGTGACTTGATGGCAAAATAAAATAGAACAAACCCAGATCTCCTTCAAAACTTTTCAGCTGTCTGTGAAAGTAATGATCTGGCTCTGCCTGTGTGGTGCATTTTCAATACTTTGTATTTCTTCATATCAGTAGTTTTGCTCTGAATATCTTTGAGCACGCAGCATCATTCCAGCTTTGCAGGTCTGATGTGACACTGAAAGAAACCCTTCTCTGCTACTAAACCTTCTGTCAAATCTTTATGAAAAAAAATGCTTAATTTCCCCCCCCCCCCAGGTAAATACAGATGTATCCTTACATTGGACTTCCCGCTACCTTTCTTACAAATTGGGTAAGTACACCATAGTGGAATTCAATCTATTTTACTTCCCCCCCCATAAAGTTTATTCATCTCAAAAAATATATTATCTATAGCAGGGGCAGTCTTTTAAAGAGCCAAACTACATTAAAATTCAGAGCAAGAGATCAACAAAGATCCAGTATAAGAAAGCCAATAAATATATCTCAAAATGTATAGCTTAACATTACTGATCATTGCCATCTTGATTAATAATCCACAAAGTTTCTGCATCCCAAAAAGTGATTGCTACAATTGTAAATTGAACTCGTGTTGACTCTTTCTTTCAAACAGATGTGGCAGGATGTATGTGTAGCCACTGTGATGCGTGAACAGGGCTACAGTCAGAGGTCATTTCGGGGGGAATCGCGGGGGATCGCAGTTCCCCCGGGTGAGGTACGGGGGGCGGGGCACATGATGAAGCCCCGGCCCCTGCTTCTGGCCGCCCCGCTTCCGGCCCTCATTCAGCCAGGAGGAGGCAGGAGAAGAGGGAGGGTAAGTTGCTTCCTCCCTGCCTCTCCCCACCTCTGCCTGCCTGGGGCCCTGGGGCCAGGGAGGGCCTTTGGCCTTGCAGGTCCACCACCGGGCCCCTCATGGGGCTCGGCAGTGGAGCTGCAAGACCGCCGCCGGCAGCTGGGACCGTTGGGGGCGGGGTGTGTGGCCTTATGACACACTCCCGGTGATGTCAGGGGGTGTGGCATATGCTAATGAGTTATGCTAATGAGTTCCCCTAGCTCTTTTTCTACGAAACGACCCCTGGCTACAGTCTTGCAATAAGTGAGCAAATATACAGGGACACCCCGCATCACTGTTTAGTGCGCTGCCTATAAATTTATGCATGGTTTGTCCTTGGACTGCCGGTAACTGTTCACCTCTATCATTTCCCTATCTGTAAGCATCTTTATTGTTATGTATTGACTTGAATGTAAATACTGACATGCGAATCGCCTCATTGAAACTTAATGTTAAGCTTCAGCCTATATGCTAATGAGTTATGCTAATGAGTTCCCCTAGCTCTTTTTCTACGAAACGACCCCTGGCTACAGTCTTGCAATAAGTGAGCAAATATACAGGGACACCCCGCATCACTGTTTAGTGCGCTGCCTATAAATTTATGCATGGTTTGTCCTTGGACTGCCGGTAACTGTTCACCTCTATCATTTCCCTATCTGTAAAGCATCTTTATGAAGCCCTTTAGTCCCATAAAAATCTTTGCCTTCACATACCAGTTATCCGAGCATCCCATCTGCCGCTCTGATATACCTTAAAATATTTAGTTTTCTTTGCAAATAAGAGCCATATTCAGTTCCGTACTGAACCACATTTGGCTCTAGAGTCATAGACGGCAGACCCCTTTCCCACATCTACAGGTATCTTCTTTCTTTCTACCCTCGTTTTACAAACAAGCCTGTCTCTATAGCTTGGTTACACGTGATCTTGATGTGTAGGTTAGCAAGGGGAAGCAGAAATGTGGCTGGGAGGAACAGGGGGTGCGAGGCAGGCCTGAAAAGAAATTATTTTTCTCAGGTGGTGGGAAGTCCAGGGCATAACAAATCTGTGGTGGTAGTAGAGAAACACCCTGAGCAGGGTAGCCCAGGCTCGCCCTATCTCATCATATCTCAGAAACTAAGCAAAGTCGGCCTTGGTTAGAACTTGGAGATACCAGGAATACCAGGGCTGTGACGCAGAGGCAGACAATGGCAAACCACTTCTGAACGTCTCTTGCCTTGAAAACCACATGGGGTTGCCGTAAGTCAACCGTGACTTGGTGGCACTTTCCACCACCACCACCACCACCACCAGTAGAGAAACAGCCCTTCCTGACAGAGACGAAGGGAGCTTTTGACTCTCAAAAGCTTATACTCTGAAACTTTTGTTGGTCTGTAAGGTACTCCTGGAATCAAATCTGCCCTCACAAGGAAAGTGTGAAGAATCCGAGGATGTGGCGGCTACGGATGGAGGCGGAGCTGTGACGCCACGCCGCCGCGAAGACGCAGCGCGGCGGAGCCTAAGGGACGTAAGCCGGAGCTGCAGTCAGAGCAGCCGCGCGCCAGAGGAACTCCATCTGAAGCCTGCTGAGGATGCTGTCGGCCCATCCGAAGCGCCGGAAGCAACATCAGAAGCCTGCCTGGAAACAACAACAGAACGCGTCGCTGGGTGCCGGTAGGCAGCCCCTTCCCATATGAACTGTGGCCCTAGATTAGGAACAATTAGTATATTCTCTGTAAACCGCTCTGAGACCCTTCGGGGTCAAGGGCGGTATATAAATCGAAATATAAATAAATAAATAAATAAATAAATAAATAAATAATATAAATAAGAATGGGGATGAAGTTGGATTTAGCCCCCCCCAGCCCATAGCTACGGTGGGGCTGTTGGGGGCGCTGCCCCTTCCTTAAAGGGCCAGCCCCCTTCCTTAAAGCCCTGCTGCTTCCTAAAGGCCCCCTGTTTCCGCGCTCAAGCGAACTGGTGGTCCACATGCTCCCCGCCCATCGACCTAAGGCCCCTTTAAATCTTGCAGGAGGGGAGGGAGAGGGGCGTGTGCCACCCCCCTTCACTATGGCAAATAATGGCAGCCCCATCAGAAAAAAAAACTTTGCCCCACAAGCCACAAAATCCTGGCTACGGACTTGACCTCTCCCACCAGCCAGAACTAGGGTTTATCATCGATCTGCTATTAGTGCGCAGGCAATATATATTTTTATTAATATTATTTCCAGAGCTAAGGCCTAAATTTGATTCTTTTCATCTCCTCTGACTTAATTACAGCATAATTCATTACAGCCCAATTAAATACTACTTGGGACAGTGTTCCACTGTGTTCAGTATGGTTTACTTCCCAGTCAGTGTGGACATGATGGTAGCCGTGTATTATTATTTGAGTTTTCAGAATGTGGCAGGTGAAATATCCAAACAAACTCTTTTTGGAGGAAAGAAAGACACACGTGGCAATAAAAGCAGGGGAATTCCAGGGAGTGTTTTGAAAATTCAAGAGCCCCAGGCTGCAGTCCTATGCAGGCTGTGCTGCGTGTGAGCACAGGCCCAGGGAACTCTAGATGGGATGGGACAGTTAGGCTGTATTGGTTTGCTGCTGACTCATGCAACGTGTGTGACCTCGGACAGCGAGTCACCCAGACTTCCCCCATGCTGGCTTCCTCATTGGTAAAATTAGCATGTTATTTACTTCCTTGGTGATGTGGTGATAGAGTCACCCTTGTTTTGCATCTGTATATTAATGAACTTTGGGGGAGGGGGGAGAAGTTGTCTGCAAGGATTATTCAAACTGCCATGTGATCCCTATTTTGACTGTAATTTGTGCACCACAAGGCTTCCAAGCAGTTTCTGTACATTACTTATCTAGCTGGATCTCACATCTTTGTCCCAACATTTCTCCAACGAGCTCACAGTAGGGCATGTAGTTCTCCTTCTCCATTTTATCCACACAACAACCCTGTGAGGTAGGTCTGGCAGACAGAGAGAGACGGGAGCTAGTCCAAGGTCTCCCAGGAGAAGCTTTGCGGCTGAGTGAAGATCCGAATCTGAGTCTCCCCAATCCTCATTTGACACTACACCAAACTGTAAAGTAAACCAGCAATTTCCCATATGGCATAAGGAGTGGCATTAGGGACAGAGGCCATGTGGTGTAATGAATGATGAGCGTCTGCTGGCTGGGGAAACCCACATTCAAATCTTCACCCTGTAACGAAACCTACTTTGGGTGACTTTGGGGCAGTAACTCTCAACCTAATCTAACCTTTGGGGAGGATAGAATATACTTGCTGCTGGAAAGCTTAGATTGGTACTTTACCCAAACCCATCCCAGCGACCTAGTGGCAAAGAATGGCTGGAGTCCTATACACCATGAATAACAGGATAGGGCACAGTGCACTACAACAGCTGCCTTTCTGGACCCCGTCCTCCACAGTTTGCCCCAGCCAGCCCTTGACCTTTAGAGGTACACAGCCTCTGGATATGGAGGCTCCATTGGGCTTGCTGCATCAGGAGCACGTGCTTTGACAGAGAACTGTAGGGTGCGATTGTGGGAATTATGGGAACTGCCGGGGAGTAAACGTCTCTGACGTCAGCGAGGCCCGCTGCTCTGTAAAAACCCTCCCGCCGGATCCTGTATTCGTCCTCTGCAATAAAGTTTGCGGCAACCGCGCACTGGCCCAGGCTTGTCCTTGCCCCTTTTAAGAGTAGCTGTGCGCGCGGCGGGGCGGGGCCGGCCGCCTTCAAACTTTGATTCCTTCGTTTTCTCATTGGCTGAGTGGGCGCGCGCCGGCGGCTACACAGCGGGTGGGCGGAGCCGCGGTCCCAAAAGCAAAGCCGAGGACTCTCCGGCCCTCCTGATTGGCTCAGGCGCAGCGGGGGCGATATAAAAGCCACGCGTCCGAGGCCGGCTGGCTTTAGTCGGCGGCGGGGGGAAGCGCGAGCGAGGGGGGCACGCGGGCTTTCGATGCTTTCGCCGGGTGCGGGCGAAGAAGACGGTTGTAAAGCGAGGGCGAGACGCGCACTCCGGGCAGCGGCCGTGCGCGGGCCCATGAGAGGGGCGCTGGACTCGCCTGCCGGTCTGGATCGGTTTCGTTGCAGCGGCGCGGCGTCGTCGTCGGTGGTCTCCCTGGCAAGCGGCGCGCACCGGCGGGAGCCCGACTGGGCAGCATGGAATGCAAGCTGGAGGCGCACCGCATCGTCAGCATCTCCCTGGGCAAGATGTACAGCGCGCGGGGCCAGCGCGGCGGCGTGAAACTCCACAAGAACCTGCTCGTGTCGCTGGTCCTGCGCAGCGCCCGGCAGGTCTACCTGAGCGAGCTGGACGGCTCCGCCGCGGCCGCCGGCCCCGACCCGCTCCGGCCTGGAGAGCACCCGACGCCGCCAACGCCGCCTCTCTTCCCTTCTCCCGCCGCTGCTCCTCCTCCTCGGGTCTTTTTGCCCCCCGAGCAAGCCGCGGAGCCCCGGGCTTCCCCCTTGCCCCGGCGGCTCCCTCCGGACTGGGAGACGCCGCGGCTGCCGCGCTGCTGCTGCTCCTGCTGCTGCTGCTGCGCCTCGGCTCTAGCGGGCGGGCGGCCGTCGGAGGCGCCCTCCCCGCCCTACTGCCCCCGGAAGCGGAGCGCGGCGGCGCCCGGCGAGGAGGCGGCGGCGGCGCTGGGGGGCTCGCCCTTGAAGAAGCCCCGGCGGGAGGCAGAGGCGCCGGAGGAGGACATGGAGACCGGCAACGTGGCCAGTCTGATCAGCATTTTCGGCTCGAGTTTCTCGGGGCTGCTCAGCAAAAAGCCGGCTTCTTGCGGCGGCCGGGCGCGGCGGAGGCGCCAGGAGGTGGCGGAGGAGGAGGAGGAGGAAGCGGCGGCGGCAACCGCGAAGACGCCGGAGGCTGAGCCCGGGCAGATCTGCTGCGACGAGTCGATGCTTCGGAACCTCAACCCTTGGAGCACGGCGATCGTGGCGTTGTGAACTCGGCGCGGCCAAAGGCGGACCCTGATCCGGAGTGAGGCCGGATCGCGGGCCGCTCTGGAGAGCGCTGGCCAGACTGGGAGTGCGGGCCGGGCTTCCTTCGCGGATTGCAAGTGTTCTCCGGGGGGGGGGGGAG